AAAAAAAAAAAAAAAAAAAAAAAAAAAAAAACTCATCATCATCTTCTTCAACCCATAAAACATTTTTCAAATGTCAAAACAAAATGTATACTTTTCAAAAAGTTTTTAAAAGCTCAGAGCTACGATAATCTTGTCATTTCAGAAAGGTAATTGTAATCCCAGTACGTATTTCTGCATGCAGCTTATCGGCCTAACCTAAGATGAGAAGACACTACTATACGTGCCTGGTCAGCACAATCTGGCTTTGTCTGTTCATGGGAGACAGAAGTAAAAACCCAGCAGGGAAGCACTGGGTGGAAGGCAGGGGGCTAAATGGAGACAAATGTTTGCTTCCCAGAATGGCAGTGGCCGTGGGTGCTTGACTGTGGGTGGGGATGACAGATTTCATGCTTTGCTCTTTCAGAATCATGTCTCCAACCTCCTTTGTGTATGGCGAGTCCGTGGACGCAGCCAACTTCGTTCAGCTGGATGACCTGGAGTGTCACTTTCAGCCCATCAATATCACCCTTCAGGTATATTGGACCACCTCTGTCCCTGGGGCTAACAGAAGGGCACATGGGATGTCTCTCCTACAGAGGGCCAGGCTGTTGTCAGGAGAAACCCTTCTGTGGTTGGCTGATGTGGTATGTGTGCGACCACCCACAGAATGAATCCCTTCCCTGCCTGGTGCTCTGCTGTGCATGCCCCTCTGCTTTCCAGGACTTGGAAGGGGAGGTCCATGTGATGAATGCCACTTTCCCCAAGAAGGCCTCTTCGTGGTGGAGGCATCGGCCAATGTCCCAGCGCAGATGTCCTCATAAGGACCCTTTTCTGTTCTCCATCATTCTCCGCCTTCCAGGCAGGGCTGCCTCAGAGGATTTGCTGTGTGCCTTCCTCCTGGGATTTTCTTGCCAACTCATCCGGGAGCCCACTGTTCCCACAGGAACAGCCTTTCAGAAGGGCAGTTTTATGAGAGCAGAGCCGTGTGAGCCCCTGTGAACCCTCACGGGAGGCGTGCTGCTCCCTCACTGAGCCGTGCTAGCTTGCCCCAGGCACACAAGCATCATTTCCAGCAAGTCCACTTGGTGTAGATGGGAGACATCAGGAAGGACACTGTTTTTTCTCTTAGTCGGGGGTTAGCAAACTTTTTCTGAAAAGGGCCACAGGGCAATGTAGGCTTTGTGGGCCATTCGGCCTCTGCAGCAACTATTCACCCATACTTCTGTAGCACAAAGGCAGCCATAGATAACATCAAAACGAAACGTCAGTTCCTTATAGACAATGAAATTTGAACTTCATACAATTTTCACGTCATGAAATGTGATTCTTCTTTTGATTTTTTTTTCAGTCGTTTAAAGACATAAAACCATTCTTAGCTCGTAGGCTGTAGGACAGCAGGCACTGGACCAGATTGGTCTTGGGTAGGAGTTTGCTGACCTGTGTTTTAAACTCTGAGTTCTCAGGCCAGTGCAGTTCAACCTGTGGGTCTGTGAATGTAAAGCTCAAGGGACCTGACATCCTCTAGTCCAGACCCCTCAGTTGACAAATACAAGAAAATGTAGGCCCAAACAAGAAAGGATGTGCCGATGGTCCCAGAGCTGGGAGAACTACCAGGCTGGCATCAAGACCTGGCAGCACTGGCCAGACCCCGTGTGGATGAAGTGAAGGAGATGGGCCCAGCTTTCCCACAGGACCCTGCAGGCCATGTCTCCTCGCTCTCTGGTTCTACTTCCCAGAGCCCTTCTCTGCATCTTGCATCCTTTCCCTTGGAGAAATGGTTTCCCACTCTGGCATTCACTGCTGCGGCTAAATAATAATTATTTTCTTTCCTTGTGGCCTTTCTTTCCTAGGTGGACTTAGGGGATGACAAATAATGACAGAGTGAGGGTCTGGAGAATGTGGCAGTAAAACATTTGTGGACTCTGGCAAACAATAGTCTTCCTCTCTCCAGAGTATTCCCCCAGCAACCTACCCCCAAAACCATGATAGATAACACATGTCCCCAGCTCACAGAGGATGTGCCTTCTAACCAGCTAAGCCCCCGCTGTCATACCCTGCCCTTGATTTACGGGGGAGAAGGGAAGGATGGGGCTAGAGTTTGCTTTTGTGACAGTAGAGTGGTTGCTGTGAATAGCGCCTCTGCATTTCTGAATTGCTTCTCAGAGTTATTTTTCTCCTTTGCTTTTCGTAACTGGGTAAGAAATAGATAAAGACTAGATGAGTTTATTTCATTTTAGTTGTCTATACTTCTTCCTGCTTTTATCGTTTTGGGGATGTCTTGCAATTAAAGATAGAGTTCAGAAAATTATTTGGAAGGGTTCAAGTAACACAGACCATGCAATGAAGAGGGTGCGAGTGTTGGGGGAAGGAAAGGAGAACGGGGTTTGCACAGAAGATACCGACTGTTCTCATCCTCTGGGAAAAAAGAAAGAAATCTGAGGGTCTGAAGCTTACCTTTCAGTTGTTTCTCTGAAGGTAATTTTTACAGGGAGCTTAAAGTTTGGTATTCGGGCAAATAGTTTTCTTCACATCTGACCTGAAATAGGACCCAGGCTAGAGAATCCGGCCCTGGGGAATGAGTGATTGGCATGCCCCTTATAGAAACTCCTCCGTGATCCATTGCCTGAGGAAGTGCACAGCATTCAATCTAGGGCTGAGAGTTGGGTCTGAAAGATTGATGGTGTGTGCCATTGATTAGAAGGAGATCCTCCTGTGTTTGCAAAGCCCCCTTTTTCCTTGAGAATTGTCTGCCTACTGATTTATTGGTAGAATGGTTGTTGTGGTTGTCCTGCAGGAAGGTCCCTGACCAGGCTGGTGGTGACAATGACCAGAAGGTGAAAATAGTGTGGAGGAGGCCAGGAATGTGGAGAAGATGCTTCTATATTTCCTGATTTCAGTAATATTGTTCCTGAAGGAGAACATAAGACTTTCCATATGGACAGATTTTTCCATGTTTTTACAAAAAATTGGTTATTCAGCAAGCCACATAATTGTTTAAAGACTCCACTGTCGCTGACGACGGGAGAGAGGCAAAAACACTAGTCTTGGGCCTGCTTTCTACATTTCAGCACAGTTTTTAAACAGACACATTAATTTGTCGACACTGAAAGGCTTTTTTGGCATCAAAATTTAAACCATTTCCGCACCTGAAAACCGGTGGCCAAAAATAATGCAGATATTGCACATGAACTTTTGCAGAGAATCCAATATAAAGACATTTGTTAAAAATAAAGATGGTAATACAAGCTCTCCTGTCCTCCTGGCTCTGATGAGTGAAATAGTGTAAATCCGTATCTTTTTCTTCATTGCCTACCCCTATTCATGCTTGAATTGGGATTTCCCAGACACGCCAGGAGGCGTCTTTTTAATTCTGTGCATTCAGGTTTCATTTCAAAGTAGTTATTTCAGCGATGGTCAGATGTTCCTTCCTTTGCTATGACTTCAGGTTGTTTTGGTGAATATTGTTCTTTTTTGAATCAAGAGTTGGCAACCAGTCTTCTGCTCTATCAGTTTTTATCTATTTATTCTTTGAAGCAGAATCAACTATTGCAAAATACCAAAGACACGGTTTTCTAGGGAAGAGCTGGCTGAGCTGGGTCTTCATACCTCCAGTCATGTGCGAAGACCTGGTAAGATTCCTGGCTTTTGTTTTTGGCTCTGCCCTTCTGACCTCAACTTCAGAGTTGCAGAGTCCCTGGATTCTCTCTCTAGTCGCTAGGCCACCAAGCAGCATGGCATTTCTTCCTCTCTCCTACTCATCCTTTTTAAACATTTATTTTTTAAATTGACAAAACTTACATATTTTACTCATCTTTTTAAAAATAGCATGTTTATTGAGATATGATTACATACCTTAAAGTTCACCCTTTAAAGCATACAATGTAATTATTTTAATGTTTACAGAATTGTAAAACCATCATCATCTAATTTTAGAATATTTACAAAAATTTTTCATATTTTTTGTGGGTACATGGTGGGTTTATATATTTATACTGTACATGAGATGTTTTG